CCTAGCCAGTTATGTTTAAGTTAAATCAATAAACACATTTTAATGTCTTAATTATGAAAACAAAACGTGCAGAAATCTGTGATCCATACTATCATTTGGAAATAAACTGAAAAATCCTATTATGTTAGAATTAAGTGGAAAATATTTTCCCCCTCTGGGGATTTTTAATTTATTCAGAATATTTATATAATTGCCTATTAGTGAATCTTTTGAGATTATTTTATTGGAGTTCTTTAACTCCAAACACATTTTTCTTTAGGCCAAGGAGGTACTGTTATTAATTTCAGCATGGAAGGAATCTTTCTACTTATCCTTTCTCTTCCCTCCCTCCCTGGATGAGTTCATTGTCAGTTTATACAGGCTCCAAAGCATTTGGCTTGGGCCTTAGTTAGCTCAGCCTCAAGTGCAGGAAAAGAACTTTAAAACTAGGAGGAGAATTAAAGAGCTTCGCTAACTCAGAAAACGAACCACCTCTGAATGTCAGTTCCAAGCTTGTGTACCTTGCTTTCTGTTAGAAGATACAAAGGCCATTGAGCTGAGTTGCCAAAACCAACAACCGACAATTTGTGCTATTTTTGAAAGCCTTCACCACTTTTGTAATCCTCACTCCTATCTTTTCATCTCATCCCAGTTCATGAAAATGTCTCTCTTTTAGACAAACATCAAATTGAATATTTCAGGGCTGTTACCTTAGGTTATTAAATGGTCTTAGTACCTTAGCTCAAAGAAAAATGAAGCTCCATTGCAAATAAAATGATTACTCAGATCTATATCCACAAAATGTCTGAGGAAATCAGCTTTGTGTTTGAGATCTGAGATGAAAAGTGCTTTTAGATGGATCCTGATCAATAAGGACATAATAATAGTGAACTGCTCTGAGAGCATTTTTTTTTTCTAGTGGACAGATAAAGAAATGGATAAAGCATTGCAAATAAAAAGGAAAGTAAACCTCAACCCAGCAACAGGACTTTGAAAACAAAGGTAGACCACTGATAAAACTCCTAAAGCCAGGAAGCATTATTTATATCAAGTTTGCATATATTAACGGTAGTATCATGTTCTGGGATACTTTATCTACCTGATTTATGTGCATACGATTGATGTGTACAATGTTTTAAATAAATAGTATTTTCCATAGCAAAAAGATCTTAAGTTCATAAATTAAATATTTTCAGGTGCACTGACTTGTCTGAGCTTCAAGTCCAAAGGAAACAGCGTTCTACTTTTGGCACACCTATGAGTACGTAGGTTTCTAGACTGGGCCAGAAACCGGAGGGAGAATGCAGAGCTAACGCAGTTGTAAAATTTATCCCTCCTCCCCACTCTCCAAGGCACTCTGCCCTCACAGTCAGGCGGCACTATCTTCCCAATTTATATGGCTGGTGATTCCCCCGCAACCTCTTCCCAGCACCTCATCTTTCTAGAGAAGGGTCAGCTTCTTTAGACTTCTCTAGGAAACAAGGGTCACCCTGGAATGCTTCCAGTCACCACAGAAATTGAACAGAGCCCGTTATTCCCCCAAATCGCCAGATTTCTGCTGAGATCCAGAAAGAGATGACCTCCTGGGAGAGGGAAGGAAGCGTATAAATATGTAAGGAGTAAACGAAAGGAAGAAAAGGTCATGGAAGTGGAAAGAAAGATCTGCTGAAAAAAGAGAGAAGGCAAGCCACCCAATAGGGGATTCACACGCCGAGGACCAGCCGGCGTCGCCAGACCGGCAACTGAACTTGGGAAAGGTTGGCCGCTTGCGCACTGTTCCTCTCGGACACTGGGTGGCGCTCGTGGTAAAGACTTGCACTTCTCTTACCGTCTGTTCCTCCACCGCCGCCCACCACACACCCTAACCCCCGGTCCCCCGCCCCTTGCAAATTTCGGCTACTAGGAGAAGAAATTACTCACATTCTTCCTACGGGTCGCAGTGGGGAGCGCACCTCTGGAGAAGTTTGTTGTCGCGGGGCCATTTCTCCACGGCTGAGCCCGTCGGTGGGTTTTGAAAGAGGCAGCAGCTTCGGTCCACGGGCCTTCAGACAAAGTTCCAGGCCTTGGTGTCAGAACCACCCACAGTACCAGCAAAATTTACTACCTGGAGAGCCGAGACACCCAGCGCGCGTGCGCCCAGAGCGTGGGTCGGCAGCAGAGGCCAGGCCCGAGGGCGGCAGTGGGTAGAGCCACGGAGACTCTAATGCGAAATGAAATGGGGGTGTATTGTGTTAAGACTCCAGCTCCTCTTAGCACTCTCCTTTAACGAAGAGGTAGGGGAAAGCGGGGTGGACTTAGTAAAGAGGCAGAACAAAGTGAAGAAGTCTCTGGACTTTCAGAGACACACCCAGATTGGGAAGTCTCATCCAGCAGCGAGAGGCCTTCGCACAAGTGGCTGCAGTGTGGGTTGAGGGCCAACACTAGGAATTGAAACAAAGAAACTGACTAAATTCTTCTCTTCCGCCTTACTCCTTTTTGTCCTGTGCAAAATGTGGGAGAGATTTTTTTTTTTTTTTTTGACGGGAGGAAAAGCGAAATTTAGCAAAGTGGAGACTTAGCTGAACATTGTAACACTGTGTTCTGCACCAGACCCCAAAATTCGGAATTTTGCCCAAAGTCTGCAGCTTCCAATCCCACCCTGGTTGGAATCTGCCTTCTCAGCAAGGTCTAAACACATTGCTAGAACTCCCTCCTTAACATAACCATATTGACCTTATTTCCCTTCACGTAGTAACTTTTAAATCTGTAAGAAATAAAAAGTGCCGGGAGTGAAGGGACCAGTGGAAGGCCACCCGGCTTCCCTCACCTCTTGCCTTTGATGGGAGGTGCTTTGAACCCTCCCTGGCATTGCTTTGGGGATGCGATTTGTGTAATTAAACAACAGGATGTGCTTAAGGTGACTCAATGGGCTCTGAGAACTTTGCCACAGCAGAAGCCGGTACTGCAAGCCCGAAGGGGTTGGCAATGTTTCCAGTGCCCTGTAGCTCTATATCTAGGGGGTGAACAGCAGTGTCAAAGTCGACAGCATGAAGTAAGGATAGCAGCTAAGGCTCTGTTTTCTCCAGGTCACTCTCAGATAAGTCAAGGGCCACTTGGGCCTCAAGCAGAAGACTCTGTCAGGTAGTGGAGGGCGCTGGGAGACCCTGTGACACACCCCTTCTTTGCCTTGTGCGCAACCCTGCTGAAGTTGCCCCCAAAGGCAATGTGACAATAGCTGTGGTTTTACAGAGAGCAGAGACAGGGAGCTGATGTACATGTGGCTGCTCTCTGCTTTCATGTTCTAGTGCTAGGCTGGCACCCTGCCCCACGTTCCAGATCCCCAGCTCTCCATGCCGGCCTATTTTGGGCCAAAGTAGCTCCAGAGGCAAAGTAAGGCTAACCTAACACTAGGCACAACTAACGTAGACTCCTCCTTGTTCAGTTGGGGTGGAGGGAATGATGAGAGGCCAGAAGGTCCAAGCCAGGATGTTCCATGGAGCTCCCGGGTTCTGTGTCTCAGACACTCTGGAGGAAGAGGCTGAAAGAGGTCCAAATCAAGATCCAGCTCTTGGACTTGCCAGTTTTAGGCTAGTGAAAATGAGGAACCATAGATTGGCTTATGTTAAATTTCTGCACTCCCAGCTGGATCACAACTAGAGCAAGAGTGACAGACCCGGCATGAAAGTAAACTCGGGACCATGAATACTCAGCATTTGGTTCCTGAGCCTTTTGTCCCTTTGCATACAAGTTAATATGTCTTAAATAAGAGGACATAAAATACAGGAACCCAGACCTGGGAAATGGAAAGGCAGGCCCTCAGGTACCATGTCCATAAAGCCGGGAGGGGAAAGTCCGTGGGCTTCACCCAACTTCCCAAAGGGCTTTTGTTCCTGCATGTTTCCCAGTCTTCTTGGGATTCCCATTCATTCGGTCTGTTGGAATGGCAGGTCATAGTAGATGAACCATTCACTTTTGCAGGAGTCCTTGGCTACTGAACACACTTACCGATCCTCTATTCCAATGGCATCCAAATAGATGAGAACACTACCCACTCTTCTTTGGGACCAGCAGTTTGGGTGTCATTAAGTTATTTGTGCTTAAGACAGTAATATTTGAAGTTCATTGTAGGGATTCAGGGTTGCAGGACCTCTCTCTGCCATGAACCGCTGAATGAACAGTGTGCATTCTTGAGCATTCTTATTCAGCCCTTTTCTGAGAAATATTCATCTCATGCAAAGGAAGGACTTGTGGCAAATTTGTCTCTTTCCCCAAATTGCAAATTTTCAACACATGTAAATTACAAGTTGACTCCCAGCACCCCAATAAAAATAGTGTTTTGAGTCCCTTCTCACCATCAGCCCACCTCCCTGATTCCGTATTTCAATATCACTGTTTAATTCCACATTCGCCCCTGGTGAAGCCCATGGGAGCGGGGAGGTGGGGAGCAAGGAAAGACCAACGCCAACCTCACCCCCAAAACATGTGCACTTTCCAAGGCTGCTGATTGGAACACATTGTCTCCAAACATTGCAAAGCTGGTGTTAGGGCTTCTGCGTTTTCTTTGGTATTTGCTGAAAACAGACTAACTTAGACCTTCCCCCCATTCCTTCCCCAACAAGGAACAACACACGCGCGCGTACACGCACACACACACTTCCCCCTCCCTCCATTTTTTCTCCCTCTTTTTAAAGCAATGCTTTGTTGTGTTAAAACTAGTTGGACGAGTTAGGGTGTTGCTGCTGCTCCGGAGGCCCTGGCCAATGGAACCCGATCCACCCCGCTGTGCGTAAGCGCGCAATTAAGGATTTAACCAAGGCTGTGCTGCGCCTCAGTCAGCAGTCAGCCTGCCGGAGACCGAGCCTCCAAGACTCCCAGCCTCCTCCTCGCCGCCGCCGCCGCCTCCTCCTTCTCTCCTCCTCCTCCTCTTCCTCCTCCTCCCTCGCTCCCACAGCCATGTCTGCTTAGAGCAGAGCAGCTCCACAGCCAACTCAGGCAGCAGTCGCCGCCACAACAGCGAGGACAGCCGCCGCCTCCTGGGAGCGATGACAGGAGTGTTTGACAGAAGGGTTCCCAGCATCCGATCCGGCGACTTCCAAGCTCCTTTCCAGACGTCCGCAGCCATGCACCATCCGTCTCAGGAATCGCCAACTTTGCCGGAGTCGTCGGCCACCGATTCCGACTACTACAGCCCCACGGGGGCCGCCCCTCATGGCTACTGCTCTCCTACCTCGGCTTCCTATGGCAAATCGCTCAACCCCTACCAGTATCAGTACCATGGCGTGAACGGCTCTGCCAGCAGTTACCCCGCCAAAGCTTACGCCGACTACAGCTACGCCAGCCCCTACCACCAGTACGGCGGAGCCTACAATCGCGTCCCGAACGCGACCAGCCAGCCAGGTACCAGGGTGGAAGCAAGATCCACGGGGAGCCGGGGTTCGGGAGGGGCCAGGTAGGGTGGGAGATTGGGGCCCTGCCATCTACTGCAATGGGGGCGCATCTGGCAGAAGGGGGTGGAGGCCTGGCCTCTACAACCGGGAGAGGTTCCCGGGCTAGCACTTAAGGGCTTCTTACTAGGAGAAGCCTTCTGGAGTTCAGACCAGTGTCTCTTCCCTCCAGCATCATGGGGGTGGGGGGTTGGGGGGGATTCTGTCGCCAGATTCCCAGTTTGCCTGGTCAGGAAGCCAGCTAGGCTGGAAAAGGGGGTAGGGGTGGAGAGAAAAAAGAATCTAGCAGCTCTAGTGGCGTTTGCGTAATAAAGGGGAAGTTAGTTGGAATTTTTGGTAAGCGTGCTTGGTTGGTGCGAGTGGGAGTGGAAGGCTTCCTCAAAGGCTCCGTCGGGATTAGTCTCAGTGCAGCCACGAGCCAGCGTCGTGTCGAAGCCCAGAACACTCCGGGTGGGGTGGGGGCCTGGGGAGCTGCAGCCCGCCCGAGGGAGAGAGCACCGAGCGCCTTGCGGTTTATCCACGCACGGCACTGCCAAAAACAAAAAGCCGTTTAAAGATGAAGGAGTGTTGCTGAGGGTTCACATTAGTGGAGCGATTTTTTTTTCTCTTTAAGTGCCTAAAATGTGTCTTCCTCCTCCGCACCTCCTCCGTTTTTGACTGTCTTTAAACTTAGGTGGAGGGTTTAGGAGGGTTAGTGAGCTTGGGCGGTAAGAGGGAGGGATGAGGTCTCCTTGGCGAGGTTTTGCTGGTCAGGTTTGATCTCTTCCCACCAGCACATTAATAATCCTGCTAATATTAGCATCCCCTACTCTGGCAGAATCCAGACCACAGCCCTCATCCTCCACCCTTCCTCTCCCAGGAGCCGGCCACAAACACGCGCGCGCTTGCGCGCGCGAGCGCGCGCACACACACGCACACCCGAAGGAGAGGTTCTCCGCCCTTTCCAGAGATAGGCACTTTTGATAAAGTGGGAAAGGGGACTTGTGGCTCCAGGGCACCTTTGTCAAACACGCGTTCACAAAGTCTTTTTCCCTTTTATAATCAGGATTTTGAGAAATTTGTCCTGACCTGCCGCCCCTTTGCTACGAAAAACGCTCCACCACCGATTCCTTTTCAATGTGTGACTCTTGTTAAACTTTAAGAAACAGCCTAGGGGTAGGATGTCTTCGTTCCTTTCAGTGTCTCTGTATTTCCTGCGTAAGTGAAAGATTTTTTTTCTTTTGGCCAAGAGCTTATTAAGTCTATTTGTAAAAGAAACCAGACACATCTGTGCCCTCACAGATCTGCAGGGAGATTATGGGGGCTGCATAATCGGCCCTCTGTCTGTGGCGGCCGGACCGCTTGCTGCTGAATTGAAGGAGCATAGTTTGCTTGTGGGTCTTTGAACTTTGGAGCCCTCGGTTAGCGTCTTCCCTACCCAAGCGTCTGGCCTCTGCGGGCACCCCAGCTGACGCCGATGAGGGGGGGGGGTCAAAGCCCTCGAAACCCAGGGAGGGGCTGGCCATGATTACCCCAGAAACACGCGAGAGCACAGGGTGGGGGCATAAAAACATGTTCGGGTGAAGCAGAAAACGCTACAAGGGCAAGATCCAGGAGGCCAAGAAGGGATCTGTGCTGTCCAACGCCCTTTACACAAGCCCTCGAGAAACTGAATGAACGGAGTAGGAATTAATTTGAGACTGACTACCTGGCCTTTCCATGATTTGGGGCAGGGGCATATGTCACTGGATCTTGTGAAGCAAAGTTGGTGATATGGGGAAACAGAGTGAAGAGTGCCTGGTAAGAAACTCCAGGACTGTATTCGAGGGTTCTGCAAAAGCGCCGTTGTCTGCCGACAAGCTATAACCGGTTCTGTTTTGATTATTTAGAGAAAGAAGTGGCCGAGCCCGAGGTGAGGATGGTGAATGGCAAACCAAAGAAAGTTCGTAAACCCAGGACTATTTATTCCAGCTTTCAGCTGGCCGCGTTACAGAGAAGGTTTCAGAAGACTCAGTACCTCGCCCTGCCAGAACGCGCCGAGCTGGCCGCCTCGCTGGGACTGACGCAAACACAGGTAAAACAGGCCGTGGCCGGGCAAGAGCCCCGCCTGCGCTGCATGCCAGGCTAGGCCACGCGGTTCCGTCCCCGCGGGCTGGAGCCGATCGCATAGCACCTGCGGGAAACTCAAAGAAAACCACCTTTCGCCCTTCCCTTCATAAGTCAGACCCGGTGTCGCCGCCACGCGCCGGTGGGTACGGGATGGAGACTTCGATCACCCCGAGATGTCCCAGCTTCCAGCCTCTGGGTGCGACATGCAAACTGCTAAAATTGGAAAGGGGGGAGGGTTACTTCTAGGACGCTCTCGCAGCCTGGAGAAATCGTGTAGTGTTCTGCATAATGCAGCGCCTCTCGAGCCCTCAGGGCCCGTAGGCCTCGTGATGGTCTCAGGCCGCGAAGGCCGAGGATGTCGCCTCGGGCCTGAAAAGCTAAGGTGGTCACTCCATGCTGCTGCAGAACGGCAGCAGCATGAGGGTCGCGAGGGGAGGGGGCGCTATTGTATGAGGTAATCTTCCTTTGGAGGATCCCATTCCCTTTACGCCCACTCCAACTCCTATAGAAGAATAAAGAATGTTCGAGTCACCGCCCAGAGCCGCAGTCGGATTCTGACCTTACGCTGGAGCTGAGGGGGGGGTGAAAGGAGTGGGGCGGGGTATTGGGCGATTAATGCTCTACCTGCTTGAACTCGTGATCGCATAGCCGGCTCCACTACCCTTGCGCGTTGGGCTCTGGCCATTGTTTTGGAGACTTTGGCGGCGCAGCGTTCCGTGAGCACTGCGTGAGCGCTGCGTGGGGCTACACGTTTGCGCAAGCCACCGGGGACACTCGTCCCCCAACCCCTACCCCCACCCCTTGCCTCCAGCCCAAACAAAAGACGACAGCCTCAGGGTCGTGCCCTCCCGGCCGCTGACGCGCACAGATCCCGCCAGGGCGCCCGCTGGGGCCGGAGATCCAGGCTGTGCCTCAGGCCCAGTTCCTTGACTATAGGCTGCGAGCTGCGGGGAGACGCCAGGGCCGGGCCGCGGGGGGCCGAAGATGCCTCTGAGTGTCCTGGTAACGTATGCCTTTGTTCCCCCTCCCAGGTGAAAATCTGGTTTCAGAACAAAAGATCCAAGATCAAGAAGATCATGAAAAACGGGGAGATGCCCCCGGAGCACAGCCCTAGCTCCAGCGACCCCATGGCGTGTAACTCGCCGCAGTCTCCGGCGGTGTGGGAGCCCCAGGGCTCGTCCCGCTCGCTCAGCCACCACCCTCATGCCCACCCTCCGACCTCCAACCAGTCCCCCGCGTCCAGCTACCTGGAGAACTCCGCTTCCTGGTACCCGAGCGCGGCCAGCTCAATCAATTCCCACCTGCCGCCGCCTGGCTCCTTACAGCACCCGCTGGCGCTGGCCTCCGGGACACTCTATTAGACTGGCCTCTATCTCTTGCTCTCTTTTTTGGGACTACTGTGTTTTGATGTTTTAGAAAATCATAAAGAAAGGAATTCTTATGGTAAAGCTTGGAAAACGGAAACAAAAAAAGATTCATGTGTAAAGCTTTTTTTTTTTTGCATGTAAGTTATTGCATTTCAAAGGACCCCTGTCCTCCCTTTTTTTTACACTTTTTTTGCGCAACTGTGGACACTATCAATGGTGCCTTGAAATCTATGACCTCAACTTTTCAAAAGACTTTTTTCAATGTTGTTTTAACCATGTAAATAAGTGTAGATAGAGGAGTTAAACTGTATATTCTGGATAAATAAAATTATTTCAACCATGAAAGCAAAACAATTCTTAAAAATACTTCTTGCCCCCTTATAATGGGCTAGTGACGTTTTATCAGGCAATTAAAGGAAAACACGGTTTGCAGAATCCAATAAGGCAAAAAAGGAAACACTGTGAGCTACTAGATGCAGAACTTTATATAATATATGCTGGGCGCTGCTTTATTATGTCTATATGCACATGTGACCTATTTATATATATTTAGGGGGGGTGTGTGTGTGTTTGCCTAATCACAAAAACGTTTAGATAATTTTAAGTTTAACCCCAAATTGTTTCAGGTAGAAAGTAATGATGGAATCTAAATAGGGCCCTCCTATCCTGTGTGTAAGTAAGAAAGGAGCAGAAATCCCTCAATAACGACTCAGAATTCTAAGCTCAAAGCAATTATGGTGGAGAGCTCCCCCCTCCTCCCCATCAGCCTCTGTGTATTGCCAATGCAATTAGACAAATTACACTCCCTTCAAAGGGAGCTTCCAGAGATGAGAAAGTGGGGGGGGGGGGGAGGAAGCAAAAGAAATTTCCCCTCCTGTGACTTTTTTCAAAAATCTAAAATGTTTGCAGCATAACAAATGGTAGTACCTTGGACTCCTTGGTGTATGATTGTAAATTTATCTGAGCTCCTTCAGAGAGAGGGAAGGATCATAGGACGTGAAAAACAATGAAGGGCCTAAATCAGCAGGCCAAGCAGTGCATGTGGAGGACGTTCTTCTGCCCAGAGAGGGAATTGTGGGGTGGAGGAAAGAAGGGAAAGCATTGTGGCACTGTGTTGATTTCATTTCCATTTCATGTGAGATAATATTCTAAGTATATCTCTTTCCATTCTCTTTACCACTCTCTGCTGTTTTCAGGAAGGAGCTCCTTGTGCTTTGCTTTTACATAAAACAAGGGCAAAGCAGGTTCCAAACTATGGGAAATTGAATCTGTTTGCAGGGATTTCTCCTTTGTAAAAGCTTCTTTGGGGCAGAGAGGAGGGGCTTGCTGCCACCTTGGCCTGAATCCTGTCCTTCTCCCCAACCCCTGCATATAGACATCAACCATGTGACCAGAGCTACAGCCAGGTCGACAGCTGTGGTCCTGGGTCTGAACTGTAGGAGTCTTTTTGACTGCCGTTTAGTCTGCCTGCCTCTGTTTCCTTGAGATACCAAGGGAAATTGTATGTTGGAAATTACAAGATGCAGGAGATATACTTTACAGCTAGGAAGTCGGCAGCAATAAATGTGACAAAAGAGTCTTCTTAAAAGGGGGGTGGTTGGAGATTAGAACATAAAAAATTGCATCCTGTCATCTGAGGATTCCTGAGAAGGTTCTTCCAGGCTTGGGAGAAGAGACCTGAAAAGGCAAGCTGTGTGTCCCGCAGGGAATTTACCTGTGTATTTACTTGTGTTCATATTCTCTCCCCCCTCTTCTTTCCTCATTTCCCCTATCTCCTCAATCCCTTCCTTTTCTTCCCCTTTCCTTTCCAGCCTGCCAGTTTGGACCGGCTTGGGCCTTAGGGGGATTCAGAGTTTTGGCGGGTCTTTAGGCAACAGCCTACCTGGTCCCGGGTCAGTTAACCAACCACGGCCAGGCCTGTGGACCCCTCCTTCTTTCCTACCCCTAAAGCCTGAGAAGCCGCTTCTCTTTTCAAACGTGCGCCCCCCGCCCCCTTTAACTTCTCCCCAGCTGTCCTTTCTCGAAAGAAGTTCTGCGTGGTGACGCACTGCGGGGTGGGGGGAGCAATATGAAGCCCCACTTTGTTTTGTGAGCTGGCAGAGACTAGGAGGATGAAGGGGAAAAGTGGAGGGCTCTATTTCCTCCTTTTCTTTCTGTGCTTGTAAGGATTTCGGGAGTTTCCATTACACGGAAAGCCAGAGCTTTCTATCTAGGGAATCCGGCCGGGAGAAACCTCGTGACCGCGATTTGCGAGGGTCAGCTTTCCCCTACGCCTGGCGCCTCTCTCCACCCCCGGGCGCCTGTTGGGGAAAGTCGGAGGGGGCGCACCCACTCTATATCTCTAACATTTCCTACCTGCTGGCTGCCTGAGAGTGTTAAGGATGTGCTTGGAACATGCTCTCTCCGTTGCTGCACATAAGAGAGGGCAGATATTTTTCAGCCGTCCTGTCATCCCCACCTTCATTCCTGGCTTTGAAAAGGGGATCCCTTCATATAACCCCGAAACACCCGGCGCGGCCAAGCTGAGGGAAGGGCTAGTTGAGACTCTTCCCTGGAAAGGAGAGAGAAACTCTCCTTCAATGGCCACCCTTCCACTCCCAACCTGGACGCTGCTTGCTGTTAAGGACACTAAAGACTCGTTGCAACGCCGGCAAGCAGAACGCCGCGCGCAGCCTTGGTTTCAGGATTCTTTCCCTTGTGCTAACCTCACTTCTTCCACTCGCAATGGCCTCTTCTCTCGCGCGGGGTTTTTTTTTTTTTTCTTAACTTGGTCTGGGAGCCGTGGACAAAAATATTCTGCCAAACCAGTCTGTAGCGGGTTTTCCCTGGCACCATGAGGATTCTCCCGGGGGAATTTAACTCCCTGCAGCCCTGCGTTCAAGGATGTAAAAATAACAGATCCTCAGCAAAGTCTAAAAATATCTGTGTGATATTCCTCTCCTTTGCACTCCTCCACCCTCCCTCTTTCTCTCCATTGTTTATTTCTACATCTAATATAAACGGACACCACTTCCCAGCATATTCCTTGGTCTGCCCGACCCCACTTTCCCGGACCTCAGCCCGCCTCTTCTGGTGCCCACTTGCCTGGCTCTTAGTCTAGTGCTCTCAAGATGTCCAGCCGACTCCGAGTTCATTTTCTTTTTCATAGACTTCTTCACACACCCTCGCACTCCCCAGCCCCCCCTCTCATCTTCAAACCCCCTCACAAAGTCCACCAAGCTCAAGGGGCCCAGAATATCTTGGCCCCCCTGGGCCCTCCTGTAAAAGATCAGATAAATTAGCCTTTGTTTGAGGCTAAGCAGATTTCTGCCCCCCCCCCCTTTTTCCTGGCGGCCACCTCCTTGTGGAACAGGGGGCGGCCTGGGCAGCCGAGAGAAGCCGCATTCCTGTGGGTGCCAGGCGGCTCCAGTGCTGAGCCACAGGGCCTGAGACACACACAGAGGAACCCGCAGACCTCGATGCCCTTGATCTTGCTCTCTCTCCCCCTCTATTGGGTCACCCACCCGGGAGCCTTTCCACCCACACTCTGATCCACCCAGGTCTCGGCCTCGGACAGGAGAGTGCTGACCCGCGCACCAACACACGCACACACCCTCTCCCGGTGACATAGGCCAGGCCAGGATCTCCCCGCCTATGCCAATCTTCTGTTTCCCGCCCCTTATCCCACAATCCAAGACGCGCCGGCTGGCCTCCTTTGGCTCCTTTGATCCCACCGGACGCCCCACGGCTCGCGGCGACCTGGACCTGGCCCCGCCGTCCTGGGAGTTGCCCACTGCGCACCAAGGGCAGATCACGCTCTCCTCCTCCGGGCGCGCCCTCCGGCTTACTCCGGCCTTGACACCAGTTGGTCTCCTGAGTTCCCCAGCCCGAAAAGCAAGGGATGCCTCCTGGAAAACTGCCCCCTGCTCCCTACCCTCCACCCTGAGCTCTCTTATATTCTAGGAGAGGGACTTTTAGGGCTACCCAACCACCATCACCCTTCCCGCCCCATCCCTGTAACCCCTTGGATCGCGCACCTCCCCCTGGCCACTGGGATATAGCCAACCCCCAACTCTCCAGCCCTCCCCGAGGCACGCCTTGAGGGCAGACGCCCTCCCGCACTTCTGGGAAGCGCGCCACGCCGCCGGCGGATCCGCCTGCGGTCACCCCTCTCCTCCACCCTTAAGCACCCCCTCCCACGCGGCTGGGTGGAGGCTCCCGCCTCCCGGGATCTTGGGGAGGGGGCTCTTCTGCTCGCTCCAGCCCTCTGCTCGCGTTCCCAGGTAGCTTGCGGTCTTTTCACACTGCACTTGGTTTTTTCACAGTCACAGCGAACTCTGGGCCTCCAAAACAGCCCCAAATAGCGGTAGCACAAACGGGATTGGCTAAATATTTTTCTACGCAGCCCTGCCCCCCACCCCAGCCCCATCCGCGTTTCTTTTGCATCTGACAAACTTATTGAAGTTTCCTCGCGGCACTGGGCAGAAAGTATAGGTCGTTTCTACCGAAGGAGGGGCTGGAATAGCAAGCCGGGGGAGCCTTCCCTTTCAAGCACCCAGGGTTGCCGGCTGTAATGTAATAACCTGTTTTATAGGTCGAGCTCTAACCGTGAAGATAGGAACCGGGGGAATTTACATGAATCTCTCTTTAAAGGAGCCGGGAGTCCTGTTTTGCAGCAATTAAAGGTTTCTGCTCTTTTGTTCACTGGGATTTCATATTACTTCTGATTTATGGGGATCCGAAGGAGTCTCTTTGCCAAAAGCGCATGTATTATTGAGTCTGTTCCACATCCTAAACCAAGATTTATATAAAACCGTGAAATACCACACATTACGACCTTTCGCCACAGGAAGGAAAAAATGGCTCATAACATCATTCTTCTCTCCCCCACACCCCAAGTTCAGTAATGATTCTCTCTATCAAATCTCCACTATACAGAGTTTAGAGTATTTTTTTAAGTCGGTGTGGATGGAGGGCAGTAAGCAGTTCACAAACTCTGATGTGTCTTAAAGCAT